TGTTCCATGTGCACTTGAGAAGAATGTATATCCTGTTGCTTTTGGATGTAAAGTTCTATAGATGTCTATTAGGTCCATCTGTTCTAGTGTGTTGTTCAGTGCCTGTGTGTCTTTACTTATTTTCTGCCCGGTGGATCTATCCTTTGGGGTGAGTGGTGTGTTGAAGTCTCCTACAATGAATGCATTGCAGTCTATTTCCCTCTTTAGTTCTGTTAGTATTTGCTTCACATATGCTGGTGCTCCTGTATTGGGTGCATATATATTTAGAATGGTTATATCCTCTTGTTGGACTAAGCCCTTTATCATTATGTAGTGGCCTTCTTTATCTCTTGTTACTTTCTTTGTTTTGAAGTCTATTTTGTCTGATATTAGTACTGCAACCCCTGCTTTCTTCTCACTGTTGTTTGCCTGAAATATGTTTTTCCATCCCTTGACTTTTAGTCTATGCTTATCTTTGGGTTTAAGGTGAGTTTCTTGTAAGCAGCATATAGATGGGTCTTGCTTTTTTATCCATTCTATTACTCTATGTCTTTTGATTGGTGCATTAAGTCCATTTACATTTAGGGTGACTATTGAAAGATATGTACTTATTGCCATTGCAGGCTTTAGATTCGTGGTTACCAAAGGTTCAAGGTTAGCTTCTTTAGTATCTTACTGCCTAACTTAGCTCGCTTATTGAGCTGTTATATACACTGTCTGGAGAGTCTTTTCTTCTCTCCCTTCTTATTCCTCCTCCTCCATTCTTCATATGTTGTGTGTTTTGTTCTGTGCTCTTTTTAGGGGTGCTCCCATCTAGAGCAGTCCCTGTAGGATGCCCTGTAGAGGTGGTTTGTGGGAAGCAAATTCCCTCAGCTTTTGCTTGTCTGGGAATTGTTTGATCCCACCATCATATTTAAATGATAGTCGTGCTGGATACAGTATCCTTGGTTCAAGGCCCTTCTGTTTCATTGCATTAAGTATATCATGCCATTCTCTTCTGGCCTGTAGGGTTTCTGTTGAGAAGTCTGATGTTAGCCTGATTGGTTTTCCTTTATAGGTGACCTTTTTCTCTCTAGCTGCCTTTAAAACTCTTTCCTTGTCCTTGATCCTTGCCATTTTAATTATTATGTGTCTTGGTGTTGTCCTCCTTGGATCCTTTCTGTTGGGGGTTCTGTATAATTCCATGGTCTGTTCGATTATTTCCTCCCCCAGTTTGGGGAAGTTTTCAGCAATTATTTCTTCAAAGACACTTTCTATCCCTTTTCCTCTTTCTTCCTCTTCTGGTATCCCTATAATACGAATGTTTTTCCTTTTGTATTGGTCACATATTTCTCTTAGTGTTGTTTCATTCCTGGAGATCCTTTTATCTCTCTCTATGTCAGCTTCTATACGTTCCTGTTCTCTGGCTTCTATTCCTTCAATGGCCTCTTGCATCTTATCCATTCTGCTTATAAATCCTTCCAGGGATTGTTTCACTTCTGTGATCTCTTTCCTGACATCTGTGATCTCCTTCCGGACTTCATCCCACTGCTCTTGCATTTTTCTCTGCATCTCATCCCACTGCTCTTGCATTTTTCTCTGCATCTCATCCCATTGCTCTTGCATTTTTTTCTGCATCTCTGTCAGCATGTTCATGATTTTTATTTTGAATTCTTTTTCAGGAGGACTAGTTAGGTCTGTCTCCTTCTCAGGTGTTGTCTCTGTGATCTTTGTCTGCCTGTAGTTTTGCCTTTTCATGGTGATAGAGATAGTTTGCAGAGCTGGTACAAGTGACCGCTGGAAGAGCTTCCCTTCTTGTTGGTTTGTAGCCTTTTCCTGGGAGAATAGCGACCTCTAGTGGCTTGTGCTGGGCAGCTGTGCGCAGACAGGGCTTCTGCTTCCTGCCCAGTTGCTTTGGGGTTTATCTCCGCTGTTGCTGTGGGCTTGGCCTGGCTGGGGCTGTTCCTCCAAAATGGTGGAGCCCCGTTGGAGGGGGAGCAGCCAGGAGACTATTTATCTCCGTAAGGGGCCTCTGTGCTCCCTGCTGCCCAGGTGGTTAGAGTGCCCAGAGATCCCCAGATTCCCTGCCTCTGGACTAAGTGTCCTGCCCTGCCCATTTAGACTTCCAAAAAGCACTCTCCAATCCAAAGCAACAACAACAAAAATAAAAATTTTGTAAATAATTTAAAAAGAAAGAAGAGAAAAGGAAAATGCACGATTTTCTTTGTCCTCAGGCGCCCATCTCAGGCACCTGCTCACCGGTCTTGCTTCCCTGTTTCCCTAGTATTGGGGTCCCTGTCCCTTTAAGACTTCCAAAAAGCACTCACTGAAAAAAAAAATGGCCACTCCCGTTTCTTTGTTCTTTGGCATCAGCCTCTGGCACCCGCTCACCGGTCCTGCCGCCCTGTTTCCCTAGTATCCAGGTGCCCACGCATGCACTGTGTCTGTGCTCTGTTCTGGATGGCTGGGACTGGGTGTTCAGCAGTCTTGGGCTCCTTCTCCCTCCCTGCTGACTCCTCTCCTCCCGCCGGGAGCTGGGGGGAGGGACGCTCAGGTCCTGCCGGGCCACGGCTTGTATCTTACCCCCTTCGCAAGGCGCTGGGTTCTCGCAGGTGTGGATGTGGTCTGGATGTTGTCCTGTGTCCTCTGGTCTCTATTTTAGGAAGTGTTGTCTTTGTTATATTTTCATAGATATATGTGGTTTTGGGAGGAGATTTCTGCTGCTCTACTCACGCCGCCATCTTGGCTCCTCCTCAGCCCATTAAATTCTTGCTTTGAGAAGCAGACCATAATTCCTTTTGTACTTGAACCTGAGGATAGAAGCAGATCATGGAGTGCTCCACAACCTGAGGAGGGGGCTGCACCTCTCCTGAAAGAACCCACAGTTGCCACGTCCTTCGGGCTTTCCACCAGCAGCTTTCAACCAGGTGGGGTTTCAACCAAGGAGGGGCCAGTGCCTCTGGCACCGGTAGGGCCTGCACCCCCACCTGTTCGTCAAACCTCTATTTCTGGGGCTGACGGCTCCACTACATTGTTCACCTGCCCCACAGCACCTGGCATCCTGCGCTCTCGTGTTGCTTCTTCTCCGGCCGCTTCCTCTCAGGCTGCCATGACATCTTTTACTATTTCCACGCCACTTCATAGTGACGTCATTTCAGTCAGCAACAAATTTTCTTTCTTTTTGGGGTGGACCCCAGTCCTCCACCCCTTCACAGTACAACATATCCACTGGGGGACACTGGAATGCCTCCCTGTCCATAGGTACAGCCTGCTGAAACACTCCTTCCATGAGGGCCTTTTCTATTCCTTGGTCAACAATAAATCCTGCCAACTATGCCAATTGTGTTGCCAGTGGGTTTAGCCCTGGGCAAGTTCACAGTGGATTCAGTGTGACCAAAGAAATGACAGTAGAACATTCTTGGAGTGAAAGGGTTTATACCCAACTTTATTTCCACCGTGGCAGGTCAATCACTAGAATCCCATCCACTCAGAGTGAGTCTGCATGCAGCAAGCTGGTCTCTGCCTCTGGGCCTCTCTGTCTGCACAGCTGTCCCAGTTTCTGTCCTCAGCACTGCCACCACTCCAGCCTCTGCTCTGCCCTCCTGCAGCCTTGCAGCTGTGCCACCATGTTGCCCAGAGCACTGGGCAGGGGCTCTTTATATAGAGTCGATAATGACGCACTACCCACACGTGTTTAGTGAGCTAACCAACCAGGGCCAGGTGAGAATCCTGGCCATAGGAACCTTCATTTATCCAGTCTTAATTTCAAAAAGTTATATGTAAAAATTATGAGAGATTTACATTATTTTTCTTAGTCTTTAAAATCCTTTTATAATACATATCAATTTGGACTAGTCACATTTCAACTGCTTGATAGTCACAAGCATCTAGTGGCTACTATATTGGACTATGCAAGCTCTGTAAAAACTGCTACTTATGATAGTTAATTGTTAGCATATTATCTAAGCAGTGTTCTTAAGTAAAGGTTTCACAGGAATAATTCAATCGTTACAAAAATATAGTAAGAATAGGTCTCAACATGTTGAATGGTTTTCACAAATAAAACAAAGCCCAACTTAAGTTACCTTAGAACAACTTAAAAAATTTAATTAACTGGAATTCCAGAGGTACTGGGGGCTTAAGGGCTGGTTTCATCCTGAATTCTAGCTCCGTTTCTTGGCTAACTTTGTCAGCTGGCTCTGTCCTCAGGCTTATAGCAAGATCACTGCAGTTTCAAACCTCAGGTGCATATACAACATGGCAGAGGAGGAAGAAGCAGTCTCTTTCCTTTATGGCATTCCTTTATGAGCAAGAAAATTTGAAAGTTCTTTAATGAACTTTCTCTCATTTCACCTTCACTTCAGTTGGATCAAAGACTTAACTCTTGAGTCAAATCCTTTGAATTTCTAAAAATGGTCCTTCAATTATTTCTTTCAGGAAGTGTGGTTTAAATGACTACAGGTGTGGCATTAAGTCCTGGAATCTGAGTTTGAGTCTCTACTCTGCCACTAACTGATCTAGGAAAGTTATTTGCTTTTCTGAATCTTTTTTTCTTTCCATTTATAAATCATATACTGACCATTGTGGTTATTTATTCAGCAGTTGCTCCACTTCTGCCCACTGTTTGGGGACTCATCCTACCTTCAAGGGAAAGGCCCTGAGTAGTCTCTCATTTTTATCTCTCCATCCACTTTGATAGTGTTTAGCTCAGAAACCTAGGCCTAAGTGGTCAGCACATGGCATGCTGCTGAGGGATAATATTGCCCAAAAACACTGCCACAATCTAAGTGTATAGAATATGTGACTGAGGGGAGGAAGGATGAGGCTTTAATCAAAGATTTATTGACCTGACAGGGAGAGGCTTCCTGAGAGAGACTTCTTGATGACTGTTGTGCAGGAATTTGCCTCTTCAGATTTTTACTTCATTTGAAATATTAATTCCTGCCATTGTGTTCTTTTTTAAACTTCTGCTATTCTTAAGAAATCTTGCAAGTATACTAAAAAGTTCAGTGAAAGATTCTTCTTCTTTAATCATGCCTAAGGTGGAGGCAGAGCGACGAGCCAATGAGGAAGAAGAAAACAAAGCCAGTCAAGAATACATACAGAGATTACTGGCAGAGGAGCAGGAAGAGGAAAAAGAACAAGCAGAAAAAAGGCGAAGAGAGATGGAAGAACAACTGAAAAGTGATGAAGAATTGGCAAGAAAGTTAAGCATTAATATTGTACGTTTTAGGGGATAACTTTGAAGTATTAACATTCTCTTGCTTTGACTGAGTGGTTTTCAAAGATCTGAAGAAGTGTTCACCATAACCAGAATTGATTTCTGACATACTTGCTCTACTTAAAACAATTTTTGTTGCATATTATTATTATTACACATTTTCTTTAATCCAGGTATACTTTAACAAAATTTTTCTTATGTTAGTAAATTCAGGTTATGCAAGAAAGTTATTCAGTGAAAAGTGAAAGCTTCTGTTCCCCCTTCCATCTCCCCACTCCAATTCCTATTCTGTTGCAGCAGTCTCTCTTTCCCCAAAGATTAGCACTGTTAACAGTTTCTCATAACTTTTTTCTTATTCACCTAAAAAGGATGTATCACTCATGGTTTTTTTCCTTGCTGTTTTTTTACATGATACATCTAAAGACATTTTTCATATTACTACATATAGTCTATGTAATTCTTTTTAAGAGTGACATAGTATTCCATTATAAGGATGCATATCACTTTTTGAAAGTGGAGTACACTAAATTCTGAAGTAACATATTAAACCTGGATTTTATTATATTGCTATAGTTGAATTACTGCCTAGGGAATAATGAGTGATAAAATATGTATACTTTAAACAATATATTTTAAAACCAAGGAATCAGTGGGACCCAGTGATTTGTAAGAACCTAACAGAATCACCTGGGGTTCTTTTAAAATATAAATTCCCATACCTGTTGTAAATCTGCTGAATCAAAATCTCTGGGGATGGAATTTAGGGAATACTATTCTCAGAGGCATCTAGAGAAGTCTGATGTATATTCAGGTTTGAGAGCCTTGAGAAACAATTCCTCTGATTTCAAACAAAAAATAACTTACAATATAATTACCAAAATGAAGTACACTTTACCCTTGAACAGTGTGTGGGTTACAGGTGCTGACCCCCTGCACAGTAGAAAATACATTTGACTTCCCAGAAACTTTACTAATAGCCTACTGTTGACCAGAAACCTTACTGATAAAATTAACAGTTCTTTGGCATATACTACGTATATGTACTATATGCTGTATTCTTACAGTAAACTAGACAAAAGAAAATGTTTTTTCAAATTCTCACAAATCTCCAAAAAGTTTTCTAATACATTTATTGAAAAGTTTTCACATATATGTATATATATATATATACACACACACACACACACATATATATATATATGTGCACCTGTGCAAAAAATCTCATGTTTTCAAGGGTGAACTGTATATCCAAAATAGAGGTTTTTTTTCCTTTTTTATGAGAGGCCTACCAGTATAACCAAGTTATAGATTCTTTGTCCTTTTTAATATATTCTTTTTAAAATTTAAGTAGAATAGCTTTGGAAAGGTATATAATCAGAACATTAAAAGACATTGGCCAATAGAATAACAAATGGAATAGGAAAGAAAATACATCAGAGGAAAATCTGGAGTCATCTTTATCTTCACAAGTTGTTCTACTTCTTGTTTTCACAGGGGTTATAAAAATAGATCTAATGACATTTTAGAATTGTTTCACTGGTGAAAGTTTAGTGGTCCAAGACCAAATGTCTACTACCACCAATTATTTTAATTTTTCCAAGAGTATAGTGAGAGACATGAGACTGGTACAGCAGGTAAATACTAATTATATTTATTGATATGCCCTAAATCCCCAAATTGAATTGTTTTTATATAAAACTAACTTTTATTCCAGGTATATCCATAGTCCTTTAAATTCCCCCAGTAGATAAAAGTAGTTATGTGAAACTGTTCACAAGAAAAATCAAATTATCAGCTATTAAGATAAGTATGATTATGCCATATTTGCTTTATAATGTGACGTTTAAAAATGTAACTAGAACCCTTTGGATGGGCTTAATCTTATGTGTACTAATGTCTGCATTATATTATTCAGATATGTAGAATTTTAATGTGAGTGTAATTCCTGAAAAATTCTGTTTCTGAATTCTGAATTCATCAAATACATAGCTTATTTTATTATAAAATTCTTTTTAATAATGTCTTTTATGCCTTTTCTGTTGTTGAAGAACTGTGATGGAAGGATCTTGACATCTCCCTTGAATTCCAGAAAATCTGGTCCAGTCACACCCAGCTCACAAAATAAAAGTAAGAACAAACAAACAAATGCTGGAGATATTCAGAAGTAAGTGAATGTGACTATTAATTATTTACTCACCACCTACTGTATGCCAGTGATTTTTGTTCATGTAGTCCACTAATTATCAAAATTTGATCCTGAGGTCCCTCCAGGTAGTCTGAGATTAATGTAAAGTGAAAATAAGGGAGCTACTCACATAGCATAGATTCCTGGCTAAGTAAATAAAGATAAGAAGTCTTTTTTTTTATCTTGATTGCTGAGAATTTCCATGTTGTTCCCATTTTCTCAAAATTAGCCTGTTAGATTCATTTTTCTCTTGGTTTAGATTCCAGTAAGAAAAGTTGATCCCATGTAAGGGCATCCTTACTGAAGGAATTTACAATTTGGCATCTAGATCATTCCCTCACCCTCTTCTCAGTTTTTGTTATATTTCTTCTGTACTATACAAAAAGCTTGATGCAGGTATTCAACAATGGAGTGATTTAGCTTACCCAGTACACCTCTGACATGCAACAGGTAGAATTGATGACTTTTTGAGGAAATAAGCTTTTACATAGTAATGAATAGTTGGAAAAGTTTAAGAACCACAGTGTAGATGTGAAAGTTATATAAGGGCTTTTGTTTCAACTGAGTAAATATGTGCAGGTAATTTACCTTCTTCCAAGATTCATAGAAATTTTGGATTTGTGGTGGTGCAGATTTGGGTCAGGAAGTCAGAGATTTGAGAGTGGCTTTGAAGAAATAATTGCTGAAAACTGTAAGACACTCATGAGAGAGATTAAAAAAGACACAAAAAATGGAAATCTATCCCATGCTCATGGATAGGAAGAATTAGTATTGTCAAAATGGCCATCCTGCCCAAAACAGTTTACAGATTCAGTGCAATCCCTATCAAATACCACCAGCATTTTTCAATGAACTAGAGCAAATAATTCTAAAATTCATATGGAACCACAAAAAAACCCAAATAGTGAAAGCAATCCTGAGAAAAAAGTATTGGGGGTATTATGCTTCTTGACTTACAGCTATACTACAAAACTACAGTAACCAAAGCAGTATATAGTACTGGCGCAAGAACAGACCCATAGATCAATGGAACAGAAGAGAGAGCCCAGACATAAACCCATGTGTATGTGGTCAGTTAATATACAATAAAGGAACCATGAATATATAGTGGGGGAAAGACAGCCTCTTCAGTAACTGGTTTTGGGAAAACTGGGTAGCTATATACAGGAGAATGAAACTGGATTACTGTCAACTCCATACACAAAAGTAAATTTGAAATGAATCAAAGGCCTGAATGTAAGTCATGAAAACATAAAACTCTTAGAAGAAATCATAGGCAAAAATTTCTTGAACATAAATATTGGCAATTTTTTCCTGGACACATCTCCTTGGGCAAAGGAAACAAAAAATGAACAAGTGCGACCACATCAAACTAAAAAGCTGTACAGCAGAGGACACCATCAGCAGAACAAAACAACCTATGGAATAGGAGAATATACTTGTAAATGGTTCTTCTGATAAGGGGTTAACATCCAAAATACATAAAGAAGTCATATGCCTTAACACCCAAAAACAAATAACACAATTAAAAAATGTTCAGGGTGATGACTGGTTAGCCAGAGACAGGTAAGATTCCTCAAGGGAGGAACAACCTAAGACAGGCACAGTCACAGGGGGGCCATCAGGTGAGAAATTGGGGATCAACAGAGGTGAGGCTCAGAACCTCATCCCCCATGCTTTGAGAGAAATCTTCTGCATCCGTGGATGTTTTATTGCCCTTGTCTAGCTCGGATTAACACATAGTCTACAGGCACACACCTGATCATCTACAATTGCTCTCTTACAACACTAAACTATGTTTTCTATCTTTATCTTGCATCTACCTACCACTTCAGCATTTTATGAAAA